ATCATTAATAAATCTATTTTTAAATATCTTATCTATAAAATAAAAGAATAATTTTTTCTTTGAATTATTATTTGTTATTCATAAAAATAACTCAATTTTCTTTGTATCAAGAAATTATCTTTCATACCTTGATAATTGACTAAATTTCTTCTTGAAATCCTTAATTAATTCACTTGGATCTCTTTGACATCCAAACCTTTGTTCAATCTATTTTAAAAATGACCTCTTAGTCATTCTTTCTAAATTTTCTTCAAAAAACTTATCTTCGAGATATTTCATAAATTTATTCTAAAAATAGAGACTTCATGCAACTCTTTTATATTTTTTCTAATTTCAAAAATAAAAATAAGATCAAAAATAGAGATCATCTTTATTTCCAAAACTTGATATACTTCCATCTCACAAACATAGATCTTAAGGAAATTGATGATGTTTCTTAGTTCAAATCTTTCAATATTGTCAATAATATCTTACAAAGCTTTTGTGGTATCCTTGCCACACTCTTGAATTTTTTTTATTGATACTCCATGAATTACACAAATGATTGAAAGAAGTCATTTGAAGCAATTCTTTTTGTGAATCTAAAACTCGAATTAAAATCCTTCAATATTACTAATAGAATAATAAATATCTCAATACTCTTTCAATGGAAGCACCAATATGTTATAGAAAGAGAGTTTGATTTTAAAAAATACTACGCTTGTGATTACTATTAGTTGTTCTACTATCTTATAAATTTAGAATATACATAATATTCTATAAAATAAGAATCCTTTGGAAGGTCACTTGTCCTTCATATTAACAAAATTTTGTTCATTAAATATTTCCAAAACTAAAATATAAGAGAGCAAAAACCTCAATGGAAAGTCCTTATATTTCTCTTTCAAGAGGGTTAACATCTTGTCAAAATCCTAAACTCTATTCTACTTCGAATCCTTAAATCCTAAATCCTACTTCTAAACATAAAAATCATAAATCTTACTTTTAAATCATAAATTCTATTTTTTTAATTTAAATTTTGTATATTTATTTTCAAAGAAAAAAAAATAGATTGAAGATTTCAAAAGATTGATGCCATCTCACTTTAGCCATCACCAACTTGTATTTTTTATTTTTATTTTTGAAATAAGCTATATATTAATCTATTAAAATATATATATATATATAGAAGGCATAGGCATCAGATATTATAATGCTATTAAAAGAGATTTTTTAATCCCATCCATAGGTTACAAGTACCTTTGTCATCTAACATAATCACCTAATACAAGTATTGCAAGGCCAACTCTTTCAATATCTTCAATAAATTAATTAAATTTTTTTAGAAAATAATTTTATCCCTCTCTCCTATATACCACCATGGAATTTTGAACATAGAATCTTTTAGGTACCATCCAAGCATCTTATCATCTATCTACCTCTACAAGCTTTAAGCTACTATTTGATGTCTAGAGCTTCAATTTTTTTTCTTGAAAGATTACTGTCTAATCTCTTCTTCTTCATTAAATCTTTATTTCTTATAAATTATAAATTTTTTACTTTCAAAATATTTATGCCTATTTATAAATCTACTAAAAATATATCTATAAAATTTTATATTAAATAGATATTATAAAAGACATTATTCATTAGATATTAAAAAGTAATTGATGCATTTGTGAATCCAAACGGTATAATATTATATTCAAAATGTCCATGTCTTGTTCAAAATATAGTTTTTTTATTCATATCTTTCTTTAATGCACACCAAATTGTATGGTCTTTGTAGATCTATTTCTATATAGATCTTTGTTTGATTGAATTGCTAAAAAGTCCTAAAATTAGAGATAAAAGCTACTTATTTTATATGCTAATATTATTAAATCTTTGGTAGTCTATCTTTATTCGTAAAGATCTATCTTTTTTCTTTATAATAAGATAAGAATTCATGTTAGAGATTTTGAACTATATATGAAGTTTTTGGCTAAGTTCTTGTTTATGTACTACTTTAATATAGACAACTTATTTTTTGATAAGTTGTAGATTGGTCCAAATGGTGGTTGAGCTCCTTCTTGAAGATCAATTGAATAATTATAATATCAATGCTCTAAAAAGTATATATGTATTTTTTTTTCAAAAATATCTTAAAATTCTTGATACTAATAAGAGATATTACTTAACATCTTTCTACTATCAAAAATGGACATGGTATATATAGCTAAAGATAATCTTTCTTTTGTCACATGCATAAAAGCTCTTACACCAACTTGTAGAGAGTTGGATATACTAGACTTATGTATTTTTACTTGATTAATAAAATTTTAGATTAAATTGTAAAAAAATTAAGGTTACAAAAAATCTAATCTATTTGAGGATTATCTTTTTTTAATTATAATAATCCTAAATTAATGGAGTTTGAAGGAGATCTTATCACATTAAATATTACTATGCTATTATGATCTTTAATTAGTACATCGAAAGTAATAGTCTCGTAGATAATATTTCCAAAAGACAGAAAATGACCATCTATGATTTTTAGGTATATATATTTAAATTTCTTGATTAATGATATTTCTTATTTATTGATAAAGTCTTTGTCTATTATATAAGTTAAAGTTTGAATCTTATAAGGCAAATACTTTGTGATTTTTAGATCCTAAATACATATCTATTATAAAATAAGGTGAAGATTTGAGAAGAAAATAAAACTTTTACTAAATGTTGCACATGATTCTAGTTACATAATTTCTATTGTAGCTAAAGAAGCTTGTTTTTTGACACATTGTCTTCTTTGGCAACCATGCTCTTCACTTTGTAATTGCATTATTTCTTTGGATAATGTTGAGTAGTGGTCTAAACTTCATCACAATATTGGTACAAATTATTTTGACAACATTGAATCTTTTCTTGCTTAATTAATGGTTTAAAATGCCTTGTATGAATTTTCATTGGTTTTAGCCTTGACAAATAAGTTTTTGAAAACTTAGGAGCTACAATCATTACTTGACTTATTTCTTTTCAACCAAATCTTTACTCTTTATGCCTTTTAAATAATCAATTGTACTATACAATGGCTTGAGTAATAAATTGTTCTAAAAATCTGCTTTTGGTATTGTTAATAATAAATATTTGATTTTATTTTTTAATTGATATCAAAATTATTTGATGAAAGTTTTTCTTTTTTAGTCAATATCACCAACAAAGTTTTGGAATTTAGCAACATATATCATAGTTGATTGTGATCCTTGTTATAAAGATAAGAACTTGGTCTTTTATAACTTTCTTGATTACGTTCTTCAAATGTGGTCATAAACACTTTTATAAATAAATTCAAATTATAAAGAAGCTATGAATCCTTTTCCATCAAAGATACGAATCAAAAGAGAGTACTTTAAGATAGAAGTACATATAAGAATTTAACTTGAAGAAATCCATTGGAATATTGAAAAAGATGCAACCTTAGATAGAGTTTGACTTATTGTAGAAATCTTTGAAATTTTCATCTTATTCTATGAAAATCTTCAAGTATACTAATTCTTACCTCTCTCATGCTTGTAGATGCAAGACTTTTTGAATTTGGTTATAAAATCAATCTACTTCATTCTCTCAAGTGTACAATTTTTTGATGTAGACTCTAGACTTCTTTTATAAGCATAGGAATAGTGCTTCTACAATTAGCATTGATAATGCATGAAATCTCTACTCTAAGAGTGTTAACAAATTTGTGAATATCTGCAATAGTTGCAAATCTATTCTCACTTTTGCTAAGTATAGCATCCATGATTTTTTCTTATATTATAAATGACTTGAATAAATCCACAAGTCAGATTAGAAGAGGATGATCTATAACCTTTAATATCAAATGAAAATTTCTATAAAAAAAAGTGATTCACTTTCTTTAAGAAAAAAATTAGTGTTAAAAAAGTAAATATTAGTTCAAGGTGGATAGTCTGTAACCTTTGAAACACAATAATAAAAATGGAATAATCTACTTACTTCTAAAAAGAAGGCAAGAACAATGAGTTAGTGGACTTGTTAATTTGTCAAAGATAAGAACTCAAAGAAGATACATAAACAAGTTAGAAATGAATCAAAGAGAGATGATAAACTAAATATAAGAAAGTAAATATATTTAATAAGAAACTATAATGGCTATTGCCAAAGGCTAGAAAACTAGAAATTCTTGAAATTAAACTATAAGCAAGTAAGGAGTTGACAAGAATGAAAAAAGTTTCACTCTTGCTCTATATATACTATCTATTTAAAAGGTATGTGATAATGTTCTATAGGACCTCCAACACATGTTTAATTTGCAAAACACATGTTTTAACTTACAAGGCAAGTTTCCTATAAGTGCACTACATTATTAGCTTGTACCACAAGCTATTAATATGTGTAATAAGTGGCTAACTTGTTGACCAAGTTTCTAACATACAAATTACATGTAGACATGTATAAAGGTGAAATCACATTTATAAAACTTCTAGAAAGCTTGTTCACAAGATATTGTCAAATTAACTTACTTTTATCTACTTCTACTTGTTCATATTATCTAGTTAACTACCAAGTACTTGGGGCTGACCCCAAGTACCTGGGAACGAAGGGCATCAACCGGATATCGAGGGTCAATATTGAAACCCGCCACTTATATATCTCGGATGAATCGGAGGAGTAGGTGGGAGATGCATACCCGGCGCTACACTAGTAGGATGGCATTGTGTGTTTCCCGCCTTCGGCGTCCAATTCCTCGGCGGGGCTGGGGCGGGGCTTTCGGCGGGAGACAGTTGCAGCGATGCCCCGCCGCCATTTCCGAGACCCGCACACGCTCTTTCTCATACTCTCGCGCTTCGCATCCTGTGCCGCGGCCCGCAGATTCTTATCAAATTCAATTAGAACGGAGGGGAAAGGCATTCTGAGCCCGATGCACACGGTGTTGGGTGTTGCCTCGCCATGCCTCCTGATTCTCTGGAGAATCGCGGCGGAGGGTGAGTGAGTGAGAGACGTTGCGGGGGGGGGGGGGGGGAGACGAGTTTGAGTTTGAGATTATTATTGTTTTTTCGGATTGTGGACGGATTGAGTTTGTTTGGTCTTCGCGCATATCAGGAAGTTATATAGCGGAATTTGTGCAATGGTGGTTGTTGTTAGTGTAGTATTTTGATGAGATTCTGTTGGGCGAAGAGGGGAGGAGAGAAGTGTCGGCTTATTCGCGATTTTGTTTAGTCTGAACGCGGCATGGAGGAATACGTTGTGTGGTTTATCGATGTTTCACGGCGTTCTTGAGTTTCGCACGCGTGTATTTTACGCTTTTGAAGAGTACGTATTTTTGGGTTATGTGGGCACGGGCTATGTTGTACTGTTTTTGTACAAATATGATCGTGGTTGATGGGAGCTATGTGTTTGTATGTAGGGGTTTCCTTTGTGGGTGAGGAAATGCTTAGGACTGGGATTGAGTGCATTTCAGGTGGGAGTCCTGGTGACTTTACAGTTGTTGTTCTGCAAGTGCGGTGACTAAATTTTACTGCCCTAAGCCCTAAGCCCTGGCTCCGAAAACTCATCAGGTCGGAATTCGAAAGATATTACGCTCTGATGGGGAACTGAAACGGGGGACCTGAATAACAAATAGGAGATTATGTAAATTTAATCATGCCTTCATTGTAATCTGAAAATAAGCCGAAATCCATCTGGACGTTACAAAATCCTAACAATACTTGGGGCATTATTTAAACTTCCAGAAGATCTCATAATCCAGTAGCAATGACGATATCAGTGGGGTTAGGTGCACAACCGCGTAGTCTTAGAGATCATGTTGATTTCAGATTCATTTGCAAGTGGCCGATGTAAAATACGTTTCCACACCACCCTTCTCAATAACTTCGTCTGGACGTGTAGCCCAGTAGCTGTGGGATACATATCGAACCGGTACACGGCATTCTGAATTTCGTAAAAGATTTTTGAGTACTGTGAGCATCTTTGGGTGTCTCAATCATTAATGTTGGGAGAACATTTTCTTAGCTAGTGCAACGAGGAAGTTCTTGTATGCTGTCTTTTCGCAACCAATCTATTTGCTTGTAATGGGATTCCTAGGTTTGTATCAATTAAACGCATCTCTTTGCAGCAGTCTCTCATCTCTTGCGAAAGTACAAGACCGCATGAAAGTGACATTAATGGAGCTAGATCTTCTGGTTCAGCATCAGCAATACTTGATAGCCAAGATGCATAAACTGTAGTACTGGTGTTCTGCATGGCTTTGTTGTTGGGCATAATTTGGATCCACATTTACGGAAGGAATCACTCATTGTTGCTGTGCTCTAGTATGCCTTCTAATGCGTCGTCATTCTCAGTCCTTTTAGAAGCAGAAGAGCTTGCGAAGATGGGAGGTTGAGTGGTGTGGCTGGATTTGCCGAGGATTCTGGGCATCTTGTGTAGCTTCAATCTCTGTAAATTCCATGATCATGCTATGCATCTAATTCAAGTTTTAAATGCTCCCCTTACGAGGAGTGGATGCTCACTATTTTGTGATTGTGGAACAGACGCTCGAGCTGAGTGAGGACTCAATTGGAATGCAGAGTGTAGCCAGTTCTCGTAGATTTCTCAGCAAGACCCAAAGCCAGATCGTGTCTCCTGCCCCCTGAGTTGTACAAAGAGGTAGGTAGTGGTTGATCTTTTAATTCACATTCTAAAACTAATATCGCCTTCATTGTTCATAGCTAATCTTAGGGCATTGCCTTTTACAGCCACCGGTATCATTTGTCGATCGCCTGTCCTGGATATGGCTGTCTTAGAAAAGCGACCCGCATGGAGGGGAGTGTTAGTCGCCAGAGAAAAGACCATACAATGTCTGGAATGCCTCAATCCTCCGTTTACAATGCCACAAGAATTGCAGTTGGAAGGGGCCTTTAAAGAAGCCTTCATTTTCAATCCCTGCGGAATGGGGCACTTTGTATTAAGGCCTCTTGGAACTACAGCCAATTTGGTGCATAAGTGGATAGAGTTCAACACATATCTGCGCAATCAAGCGAAGGTTGGAGTTGTGCTGTTGCAGGATTGGGAGCTTTTCATTTTACCTCCAAAGTCCATTCCTGTGGCTGACCTTTCTGCTGAAGTCTATTACCGGGCCAGAGCTAAATTGAAGAGCCCTGCTTGCGTATCTCAAACACAAGGTGATTAATGTCTTTCTTTTGCTTTTTCACTCTCTCCATTTTTGATTTTTGTGTATTTTCTCTCCTGGCAGTTCTTCCCAAAGAACATTATTTCATGCGGTGATTCTGGTTCAGTAATGGCTGGAAGTACACTTCGTTCTGGAACTCGCGTACACCCAAGCCATCTGGAAACACTAGAGCAGATGCACGCTGCTTGGGTATTTGGAGCTGTCGCAGAGCTCATCGACAATGCTCGCGATGCTAAGGCTACACGGTAGGTTCCGATTTTTGAGTTTGCATTTGTTCTTTTTATCAGTAGTTCAGGGCCCCCTTCTGCGATGTCTCAATTATCATTTTTTCTGCTCCCACAATAACGATTGCATTTGCACATTGGTTTCCACACGTTGTGTTCTCGCAGTTTGGAAATATCGATTGAGGATATGGTATTAGGAGAAACTGGAACTGTTCCTGTACTTCAGATGGTCGATAATGGGCTCGGCATGAACCATGAAGAAATTGTCAAGATGTTATCATTTGGACACAAAAGGCCAGGGGAAAGTGACGCGGAACAGATTGGGCACTTTGGAGTTGGGTTTAAGGTACTTAGCCGCGGTGAAGTACACTCTTCGTTTCGTTTGTTTACCCTGTTTAGCGGTGCAATAGAACAGAATAATAGTCAGTCATTCTTGCTTTGTTGTGGAGTCATTTGTTGGGATTAGCAAACATACACTCTCGTGTAAGACCATAGAATATTGAGTTCTGGCAGATTGTATCCCTTCGCTTTGAATTTCTAGCGCTGTGTTGATTATTTTGCACGTCGATCTAAGTTTTTCTGAATTGATACTTCCAAGTTTTAGCTAAGTTTTCCAAGGTCCGAAAAAAAAAAAAAAACAAAAACAAAAATCCAATTTTCAGACAGGTGCAATGAGAATCGGTCGAGATGCTGTGATTTTCACTCAGAAGAAGGACACCTGTTCCATGGGCTTTCTTTCGAAGTCTTACAACGCCAATCTCGAGGTTTTCTCTTTGTTGGTTATCTTTTTCGTTTTACTCTGGTTCTTTGTACGTGAAATGAGGACTGTTTTTTGCTTTTAGAGGTTGATTTGTGCACCTATAAACTGATGCTTTCGTTTATCAGGATCTTGAGGTCCCAATTGTAACATACAAGAGATTTAGCAGCGGACAAATTTCGTTAGATGAGAGTGTTTGTACCAAACAAGACGAAGAGAAGTGCAAGAAGGCTGTCACAAAGCATTCCCCATTTATTAATGACATCAGTATTGGGGCTCAGTTTGCAAGGATTGAAAACACAGGCACACGTATTTTTGTGTACAATTTAGAGCAGTGGGACGGCAAGTGTATCTTTGAATGGAATAGAAGCCTTGACCCCGAGACTAATGCTCAAAATGAGAAAAATGAACTTGAAGATATTAAGATTCGGTCGAGACGGGTACGAGTTCGAGCTGGGCAGACAAGTAAACAGGTGCTAAATTCCTCAGTTTTATTTCTATTGGCAAATTTTAGATTAAATCATCTCATTACTTTTTCCTGTAATGCATGGGCTCTGCTGGGGAATAACACGTTCCTTTCTATTCCTCCAGGTCATGAATATAGAATTGGAGGTTTGTGTAAGGATAAATTGCTGGTCAAGTATATGATGAAGCAGTCTTTTTGAAGTGTTCCTGAAAATTCTAAATTCCTGTCATCAGTGAGCTGCTTAAGTTGTTGATTGACGATTTTTGTTTTTATTAACAGGTTCCACTTGACTTTTCTTTAAGGGCATATACGGAGGTCCTATTCTTAGTCCCCAGCATGAAGATATACTTGCAAAGGTCTCTGGTATGGCTTTAATAAACCTTTAACTGAATTGGTTTCAGGTGCTAGTTGAATGTATCTCCAGCGTTCCTTTTCCTCACCGTGCTGCATTTGTACCTTAAGTTAAGAAAATTAAGGCATTTCTGCAGTTGTTCCTTTGGGAACATAGGTATCAAAGACAATACGTTTTGTTAAGATACACGGAGCTGCCTCTGGAACTCGCAACCGGAATAATGTGTCTGACTAATCAATACTAATTTGTAGACGATGTTCTGTAGGTCAACACAAGAAATTTGGCTAAGACTTTGCAAAATGTGGAGAGATTTCAGTATCATTTTGTTCATGAAAAGGATCCTATCAAGAATAAATTGATTCCTTTAACTCTTGGAAAGCTACAAATTGAATACGACCGAGGGAACTGCGGAATCTTTCTCTACTGGCATGGACGACTTATTGAGGTTAATCTATTACTCCCTGTCTCTAACTGCCAATGCTCCTTTCAGGTAGGCTTTTAATAGCATACTTTAGTTTCACCTCGTCATGCAGTGTAGGACACACCTCTAATGATGTTTGTCCCTGTACATAGCATGCATGTTTTCCTTGCTGAAGAACGGGAATTGCGGCTCTTGATTTGAATGTGCAGGCCTACAAGAGAGTAGGGGATATGGTGCATAGTGCAGACATCGGTCGTGGAATTATTGGAATTATGGATGTTACTGACATAATGGTATGCATCCTTGTCCGAATTTGGCTGTTCATGTAATACATTCATGGGACGGTATTATCTTTGAAGGCCCGACCCTAATATGAAAAAAATTATCACAACTTTGAAAAGATATTGGAATATACGAGCACACGCAATCTTGTGCTGGATTAATGGAATGTCTTTAACATGAGATCGCGCTCTATCAGTGGTTTTTCTGTGTATCAAGACTGCACTGTCGTTGTAACGCTGATAAGCCTCGGACTGGAATCACTGTGATTGCAGGACTTTGGTGATGGAAAAGTAGGGGTGTTAAACAACAAGCAAGGCTTCACTGATAGTGATAGATTCTCGAAGTTGGAAAAGTGGCTGGATAAGACTTTTGGCGAATACTGGGACAACAATTTTGATAAGTTCGGTTTGTTCGAGAAGGAAAAATTAAAGGAGGGCGAAAGGCTTGTACATGATGCGGAATGGGTACAGTGCATGAAGTGCTCAAAATGGCGGGAGCTCCCCAAAGGCTGGTGTGCTGATGACCTGGTTGGTGACTGGTTTTGCTATATGAAGCCCTTCGAAGGAAATTGTGATATGGCGGAGGCCGTTCAAGATAATGTTATTACAGTGGCAATTAACCGGGACGGGAACAAGAAGGTTGCTCCGGTATTTGTGACAAATGATTCTGACGCTTCGTTGGTTGTCAATCCAGGTACTTCACACTTCTCTCTGGAACATTTCATTTTGACTTAAACACTTTGGATGCTAGGTCAGATTTATGTGAACCTAGTTGCCACTTCAATGTAAAATGAACAAAATTTTGTTATCTGTTCTACCAGAATCATCAACCAGTAGTCTCGACATTGGAGCGACGAAAACTTTGAAGCGTCTCAAGCGTTCGAGACCAGGTTCGGGGCCCATCAAGATCGAGAGAAAGAAGTCTAAGCCTTGAATGCCCACAATAAGACATAGAAGCACAAAATGATGGGCCTGTACTTGCATGGGCAAAACAACTCTGTAAATATGAGGCGATGTAGATTTTCTTCTCGCGGTAGAGATTTTCTAAGTTAGTTTCTGCTTGGCTGGCCTTGTTTGAAATCCTTGCCGTTAGGCTCTACTTTCAAATCGTAAGCACCTTCAGTGCTGCTTTTGTTGGGTTAGCTTGATGATTTTGAGGTCCATCAATGTAAATGGTCGAAGTTTTGGATGATTGGAGATATTGTCGTTTTCTAGAAAAGCGTTTGTTGTTTTTTAGTAGAGAGTGATTAGGATGAGGTGGACATGTCTTACACCTCCGAGTTTGTAAACCTACGCTCGTAATCTTCTTTGTAAACTTCGTTTTTCATTTTGTAGATTCTAAGTAAAGTCTTCACTTAGTGAGTGGTCAAGTGAAGGCTGAGTGCTGGAGTGGAGGCTTTTTTATAGTTTTGTTTGCACTTTCTGTTCGACGGCAATGAAAACCTTTAGACTGATATCATGACAAACTTTTTAACGCTGTAACGGCTGCTGTTCTTTTATAGTACTGGTTGTTGATCAAATCTGTTGAGCTTTGTTGGCTCGAATTTATAAGGTGATCTATACATCTACACATCCATACACATATGCCATCGCGGGTGCCTGAGCTAAATTCCCAAGTAAAGAATTGGAATCTACTCTGCAGGTTGAATCGAATGAAGATGGTAGCGGAAGCGTCAAGGGAATTTTATCAGACAGCAGTGAAGATGGGAGTGTGGTGGGTACACCATCATGAGAGTGCTTTAAATCTGCTTCAATATTCTTGGCAGTCTCTGAGTACAAGAAATGAGGTTCGTCACTTCTCTACCAGCCCAATATCGTCCATGTCTTCGTCACGGTGCACAACCCCTAGGTGTAATATGAACTGTTGAGATATTGTGATTCAGACAAGTGCAGGTACTGTGGCGTGTGCAACTGAATTCTAATCAAAGGACACCAATAAATCTCTTTATTGGGATCTTCTCTCGCAGTGTTGTCACAGCTCCTCAGCATCTCGGTACAACCATGCTTTACGTGCTTGCAGATTACTTGCAACGACTTTCGAAATGTTCCCTATGTTGCTGATTATTTTGTTATGTGAACATGCAGGTGATCTTATGTTTCGAACACAGAGAGTGGTGGTATGAGGAATCAATGACAAACATGAAACGGTAAGAGCAGTTATAGCTTTCAATAGAAATGTGAGAACTTTAGATGTTCAAATTTTTTTCCACGTGATTCATAAAAAGTTATCAAAAATATTTTGCAACCATTTATAGAATCAATTTATTAGTAACATTTTGCCATTTGCATTGTAATAAAATATTGAGATTTATACAAGTTAACAAGTTGGTGAATGAAATAATCTTTGATGAACGTGAGTTCAAAGCTGAAAGTTAAAAATTTTGTGGCACTATTTATATAAGAATAATCTCATCTCTAAAATATTTGAATCATGATGTAAGTTTTACAAGAATTTGGAAAAAAGCATTACGAATTATTAAAAATATAGTTATTAAATCAAAAAAATTGACTTGTAATGTTTGTTATAATTGTTAGAAGCTACATATGAGTTGACATACTTAAATTTTAAAGAGAATTTGGTTCATCTTATGGTATCTTTTTACTTAATGCTTCTAAAAAAAGTTTATTTATTTATTTTATTTTTAGATATTAAGTTATAGACTCTTCTAAAGTTTTTATACAAAATACATAATTTTACAAAGTGGGTTTCTAAGTGTGAAGACTTTCTGAGATGTTGTACTTAAAATTTTAATTATTTAACTTGATACCTGTTTTTATGTAATATATTTTTATTGGTATATAATCACTCATTTGTTGATTCTTGTACATGTATGTATGAACGTATGTATGTATAATAACAGTCTAACAAAATATTAAATAAATTTTTTGTGGAAAAATTAGTTTATAGAATAGCAAATTTTAAAAGAACTCATCAATTAAGGATAATGTATGGTATAATAAGATTATCTTAAAATTGTCAAGCACATAAACTCTTAAATCAAGTTAATTATTTGAAAATTGGTTATATATTAAAAACAATAATTAAAAAGAAATCAAATCATTTAAATCAGTAAGATTTGTGATAAATATGATTTTGTTCTGGCTATTTATAGTTTATAAAGCATTGAGTCAGATTTTGTAATACTGTGTGTAATTACTTATCATTGAGCATTTATTGTCTATAATACTAACCTATATATTACTTCTTGAAGCATTAAATGTTTTTCCATATTATTACTTTTAAATATAAAGAGTTTATTTATGAATAATTTTATGGATTTTTTTTATTATTTTATTTAGTACTATTGTTTTTATATCCAAACCTTAGTAGAATTATGTCAAATTATCTATATGTATATGTATATATAGAAGATAATAGTCATTGTTGTGATTGTAAAGTTATTTAAATTTTAAGTTTTAGTTTTCGAGGCATTTTGAATCAAAAAAGATTAAAGATGACAACAACATGTTGATCTACATTAAATTATGTGAGGCACAACTCATGTTGGAAGAGTTGTAAAGAAAAACTGCTTTCCTCTGGTTTACTTATATTTGTTGTAAAAAATAATTTAATGTTGATCTACATTAAATTATTCTATTACACATACCAATCATCTTGTTATTTTTTTGAATTTGGTTGTAATATTTCAGAATTATTATCAAATTGAAAATATTTAAAAATAGAATTTGTGGATTATCTACTTAATAATAAATAACATATAAGCTTTTAGGCACTATAGTACTTTAAGAATTATATGTAATTCAACAATATTTTTGAAAGAATACATAATAAATTAGTTTTTAAGTTTTGTCATTTTAATCTACCAATAATATTATCTTTCAGATTAAATAATTATTATATTTATAGTAATAATTAACTAAAATATGATAAAACAAATTGCAATGATTATTTTAATATATATAAAGGGAAATGTTTAAATGACCCATCCATTTATTAAATCAACCCACTCTATTATAGAAAATAAGAAGGAACAAGGGAAGTCAGGATGAGAGTTGGAAATGAGGGGAGGGGATTAAGGAGCGTCAAGATGAAGAAGGCTACAAACAAAGGAAGCATGGGTTGAAAATGAGAGAAGTTGGAATGAGGGCCATAATTATAACAATAGTTTTTGGAGATGATCCATTTTTCTAATGATCATTACAATAGGGTGGGTTGATTTAGTAAATAGGTGGATCACTATAACATTTTTCTAAATAAAATTTAAAAGAAAGATTGACAAGAATATATATAGACTTAATTTTTTCTCAATTTACCTTCTATTTTTACAATTGAAATTATGTTTGTTAAGTTTTTTTTTTTTTTTTTTTTTTTTTTTTAATCTTCATGCTCATAATCTAATAGAAATGGTCTAAAAAAAATTATGATGTATTTTACAATATTTTTAATAGATAGCTCACCAAAAAAAACAAAAAAAACAAATGTTTGTGATGATAAAGACTAATCATAATCAAATCATTGATTACACTTGTAGGTTTCATATCAAGTCTTATGTGAAATTTACCCTTACAATTCAATTATATATTTAAAAGTTAAATAATGATCATAATAATAATAATAAATCATGCATGTCTGGATATCAAATTATTGCAAATACTTGTATTTTTATATCCTGTGTAATCCAATAATAACTACAAATACAGAATTCAAAGTTATACAAGAAATTGTTGATAATATGGGTCTAGCTACAAAACACGTAAACACAAGTGCACCATAGAAGAATTTAAACATATTAAAATTGTATCTACTAATACAATACTAATCATGTTTATATTAAAACTTGTTGGTTGATAGAATTATTTGATTTTTCAGGAATACGTAGATAGAAGCCCAAAAAACATAGTACCCATGGTAAAAATTTCGAAATTAATAAATTTAAAATTATAAGTTGTCTACAATAGAGCATAGAAGTATATCATTTAATACTGCAAATAAATAAATACATGAAATAAAATTTCTCAAAACGACTGTACACATTTTGATTTACACAAGAAATAGTAATGTTAAGTTTCTCAATTTCAATTAATATTTTGAATCAAACACAAAAAATGTTCTTAAGAAATTCAGAATATCAAAATTTAAATTGATAAATTAAAATTAAGTATTTCTTCCAATACAAAATCAGCAGAGCCTTCCATTTTTTTTTTTTTTTTTATATACACTGGTCTATAACACACTTTTGATTAAAAGCTTAAGAACAATATTTGCACAATTATTTGTTTAACACTCCATCTTTAATGCAAATATTGAAAATTAAGTACTGAAAAGTGCTAGGTTTTGATAATCATTTCTACTACTCTTGGTTAATTTCAAGACATGGATTCTTTGGTTACTTTGCAAATGGTTTTCCTTTAGAGAAATTCTCTTCTTACTACCACAAAAATAACTCATGTGCTTCAAAATGGACACACCCACTTCAATAATATCATAAAATCACATTTACACACAACTTATATATGTATGTATGTATGTATGTATGTATCCTCAATAGGTGTTTTTGTAATCAGAAACTCTGTTCTATTTGTAACAGCCCCTTTTTGTCTTATCATCAATACTCACATGCAAGAGTTCATCACAACTTGTGGAGCTTTATAAGTGCATAAAAACAATAAATGTCTAAAAATATATATAAGCATGGATATGTAGATAAGCATAGAGATATGATTTTTCTAAAAATATATACTATACATACATATATGCACATTTTTCAATTTTTGAAACTATCTTCACCCATTTATTTATTCAATTATAAATAAAATTTATTACTTATTATTTCTATTATTAGACATAAAGACTAGTGTGGCTTTTTTGAGGGATCTCTTGAGTGAGTGGAGGAGGTGATGATAGCAACATTCAATAACACAAAGCCATTGGCTACATCCCATATTTTTGATAGATTTTGTTTCTACATATTTAAATGAATCATGAACTCACGTATGGACACCACCCCATATGGCTTCCAGTAAGAGACAAACATGTTAACAGTGGGACTCCATTGACTCTCAAATATGTAACCTCGCTCCTCTGCATGCTTTTAACCATTCTTGTCTTTTTACATCTTGTCTTGTATTGCAAAAAATTAGATGCCTCTTCAAGTGAATGGGACACTTGCTTTTATGGGCACTTTTATTTTTATTATTTTATTATTTTTTGTTATTTGTGAGTAAAACCTCTCGTTCACTTTTAAGATTTCATCATTCATCAAAAGTTTACCTGATTGGTGGTCAAAGGCCTCATGGTTCTGGATCACATGCTCACACTTGAGAATGGAATAATTCCTCCTTGCCATTTATTTAATTTATTATTATTATTATGATTATTATTTTTTTTTTATCATATACAAAGTGGAAGTATTTTACTATTTTTTTTTTATCTTGGAAGAATTGTAATAAAACTTTGAATGCCAATCAATGTTTAGTGTTTTTATTTCAGTTC